TTTGTAATGTAATTTGAATTCCAGAACTGTGATGCCTCCAGCTTTGCTTTTGTTTTTCAAGATTGCTTTGCCTGTCCAGGTCTTTTGAGGTCCAGTAGAAATTTTAGTGTTGTTTATTCTAGCTCTGTGAAAATGTGAAAAATGCTGTTGATATGTTGATAGGGATTACATTAAATGTGTAGATTGCTTTGGGTAATATAGACTTTTTAACAATATTTCTTCTTCTGTTCCATGAGAATGGAATATCTTTCCATTTCTTTGTGTCATCTTTAATTTCTTTCATCAGTGATGTATAGTTTTCAGATGACAAGTCTTTCAACTCTTTGGTTAGGTTTATACCAAGTGTCATAGTTTTGGTGCAATTATAAAAGGGATTGTTTTCTTAATTTTTCTTTCTGCTGCTTCATTAATTTCTTCATTTCTTGTTACAGCCTTTGTTTTAAAGTCTAGTTTATCTGATATGAGTATTGCTACTCCAGCTTACTGTGGACATGCATTTGTGTGATAAATGTTTCCCCATCTACTCACTTTCAATTTGCAGGTGTTTTATGTCTAAATATCAGTCTCTTATAGGCAGCATATACATGGTTCTTGTCTGTTTGGGTTTTTTGGGTTTTATTGTTGTTTTTGCATCCTGACAGCCTGTGTCTTTTGATTGGAGTGTTTAGTCCATTTACATTCAGAGTAATTATGGATATATATGTATTTAGTGCCATTTTATTACTTGTTTTGTCAATGTATCTGGAGATTTTTCTCTGTTCCTCTCTAGTCTTTGTCACTTTTGGTCCTTCCTTTCCATGCAAAAATTCCCCTTTAATATTTCTTGCAAAGCTGGTTTCGTGGTCATGTATTCCTTTAGTTTTTGTTTATCTGGGAAACTCTTTATGTCTCCTCTGTTCTGAATGACAGCCTTACTGGATAGTGTTCATTGCTGCAGATTTTTCCCATTCAGCAAGTTGAATATGTCATATCACTCCCTGTTGCCTTGTCAAGATCCTGTTGAGAAATCTCCATCCAGCCTTATGGGTCTTCCCTTGTAAGTTAAGGATTTCTTTTGTTTTACTGCTTTTAAGATTTTTTATTTATCACTAGATTTTGCCAGTTTAATTATAATATGTCTTGTTGTTGGCATGCTTTTGTTTTGATGGGAGTTCTCTGTGCCTCCTGGGCCTGGATGTCTGTTTCCTTTCCCAGATTAGGAAAGTTTTCTGCTATTATTTCTTGAAATAAATTTTCTGCCTCCTTTTCTCTCTTCTTCTGGGACTCATGTAATAAGAATGATTTTACATTTGATGGAATCACTAGGTCCCTTAAGTTTATTCTCGTATTACATAATTCTTCTCTCTCTCTTTTGTTCAGCTTCATTATTTTCCATTATTTCATCTTCTATATCACCAAATCATTCCTCTGCTTCTTTCAGCCTGCTTTTCATTGCATCAAGCTTGTTCCAATCTCATTTATAGCATTCTTCATTTCTGACTGTTTTCTAGCTCTTTTATCTCTGTGGTGTCTCCTTGATGTCTTCCATTCTTTTCTGAAGCCCAGTAAGTATCCATATGATTGTTGTTTAAATTCTGGACCAAGCATATTACTTATATCTGCTTCGATTAGATCCCTGGCTGTGACCTTTTCTTGTTGTTTTATTTGGGATGAATTCCTCCATCTTGGCATTTTGTCTAGGTCTCTGCCTTTTTCTGTGTGTTAGGAAACTAGTTATGTTTCCTGCTCCTGAAATTAATGGCTTTATGAAGAAGCAGTCATATAGTTTCCAGTACCTGTCACTTCTGAGATTTCTCTCTGGTTGTGCTACATATGCTCTGCTGTTGTGTTTTGGCTGCTCTGTCCTTCAGGCCAGTCACCTGCAGAGGCTCTCCCTGCCTGCAGTGTACAGTATTTGTTCCTTGGCCAAAATTTGGCAAGTTTTTTTTTTTTTTTTTTGACACAGAGAGAGAGAGAGCAAAAGTAGGGGAAGGTGTAGGCAGAGGGAGAGGCAGAAGCAGGCTCCCCACCAAGCAGGGAGCCCAATGTGGGGCTTGATCCCAGGACCCTGGGATCATGACCTGAGTTGAAGACAGATGCTTAACCATCTGAGCCACCCAGGCACCCCATAAATGTGGCAAGTTTTAACTAGTGCTCTGGTCTGCTTGCTAAATGAGACCTGATCCTATTTCCACTCGAACTGAAGCCCTGTAGAAGTCTTGTAGGGAAACGTGGTTTGGGCAGGGGTTTCTGCTGATCTTCTGGGGGAGGGGCCCACCACGCTGGTACTGGGGCAAGCTTGACTGAGAAGGGCAGTCTCATCAGAAAGCTGGGGTATGGGACCTGGTGTAACCATGTTAGGCAGCCAGTATAGGTGCTGCAGTGCTTCCTGCAGTTGGCACTGTGTTTATGCTGAGGGGCAAGAGAGAAAAATGGCACCAGTCAGCTCTTGTTCCCTGAAAGGAGTCTCCATGAATGCTGCCTCTCGGGGAAGCACTCTGAGAAGAGCAGAAAATCTCCCACCTGTGTGCCCCAAGCATTTTCTAGTTTGCTGTTTTCAAGCTGTCTACCTCCAGGTTTTTTTGCCTACCTTCTCTCCAGGAGCAGCGCAGTGCCCTCCTGGCTCTATCCCAGATAATCCTGGTGACCTTTAAAACTGCAGCAGGCTTTAGAGACATGGTGTGGTAGGGGCTTGTGCTGGTCCTCTGGGGGATGAGCCCACCATGCTGGGACTTAGGCAAGCTTGATGGAGAAGGGCAATCCCACTAAAGTGCAGGGGTGTGAGGCTTGGTGTAAGCAAGTTAATTAGCCAGTGTCAGGGCTACACTGCTTCCCACTGGTAGCTCTGTGTTTATGCTGAGGGGTACTGGAGGGAAATGGCTCTGGACAGCTCCTTTGTTTCTAGAGAGGCGTCTCTATGAAAGTTGCCTATCAGGGAAGCCCTCGAAGGAGAGTGAATAATCTCCCTCCTGTGTGTCCCAGGTGTTTCCATGCTCTGTCCCCAGGTTGTTTGCATGCCTTCTCTCTCCAGGAGCAGAGCAGTGCCCTCAGGGCTTTGTCCCAGTCAAGCCTGCCAACTTTTAAAATTCTAGGCTTTAAGCCTCACTGGTTTTAAGAACTCATGAAAATCGGCCCCTCTCATTTTCCAAGCCAATGGCTTTGGGTAAATGTTCTTCTTGTGCATTCTGCTGTGTGCTCTACTCCCTCTCACCCTTCTCTGTGACCACAGCTCCCTCCCCTCTGCAGTACCCATGATCCGTTTCTCCCCTAAACCACATCTGCGTACTTCCTACCTAATTTAATATGGCCTCTTCTCTCCCTTCAGTTGTGGAGTTTGTTCTGTCAGTCTTCATGTTGATTTCTGGGGTACTTAGGATGATTTGATTGTTATCTAGTTGTGTTTGTGAGACAAGGTGAGTCTAGGGTCCTCCTATTCCACCTCCATCTTCCCCCAGAAAACCAATATATGTATTTTTTTGAGAGGGGAACACAATCCAGTCTATAACACCTAGACTATTAAACTAATCTTGTCACTATGGTTACTGTATAACCCTAATCTTTGCTCCTTCCAAGCTTTTCAGTCCACTCTCCTGTTTTCCTCCTACCTCACTAGCTGTTCCTTCTCAATTATCTTTGCCAGTTGTTCTTTATCTTTAGATGTTGGAATATCCCAAGTCTTAGTCATCAGCTACATTCTCTTTCTTTGTTTGCTCTCTTAATAAGCGCCATAAGTTCTCTTGACCTTAAATGTTATCTCTTACTGAAGTTTTCCAAAATTATATCTCTACCTCTCATGAGTCTCTTCTGATCTCTAGACAGGTGTATCTACCTGCTTTTTTTCTTTTTCTTTTTTTTTTTTTTAATTGTCTTTACTTGGAACTCTAGTAGTATTTAAAACTGGAATCTTGATTTTTTTTTTCCTACCATACTGCCTAAACCTGTTCCTCTTTCAGTGTTCTCCAACTCAGCATAATATCTCTACCATTCAACCAGTTTCTCGGGACATAAAACCCTGGAGTTGACCTTCATTCTGTGCTTAACACTTGACATCCAATCCATCAGCAATTCCTGTCAGTTCAAACTTGAAAAATAAAACTTTGGCTCTGATGGCTCCTCTAGAAGGAAACATTCCAAATCTAATCACTTCTCATCACCTCTATTGGTACATCCCTTATCATGTCTTACCTAGACTACTGCAATGGTGTCTTAACTGGTCTCTGCTTCTAATCCTTTCCATAATTCATTCTATGTAAAAGAACCATAGTGCTCTTTTAAAAATAAAAATCAGATCCTGTCATTCTCTTGTTCTAAATCCCTTTACCACTGGCTGTTATCTCCCACTACTCTGTTTTTTCTTCCACTCCAATTACACTGGCTTTCTGTTTCCTCCAATGGAATGTTCTTTTCCCAGATCTCATTTCATTCAGTTCTTTTCTTGGATACTACCTCTACATGAAAGTCTTTCTTATCTAAAATACCCACCATGTATATACTTGAGATTTTTTATTACTCTCTTTTTTCTTTATATCATGTCTCATTACTTGAAATTGTATTAATTTTTTTAATTTATTTCATTGTCTATCAAGCTTTCCCCACTAAAATATAAATTCAAAGAGCAAGGACTTTGTCTCATTATTGCCGTATTTCAAACTTCCAGCAATATAGTAGGTAATCAGTAAATATTTGTTCATTGAATGAATGAAATTATTCTGATACATGTTCTTACATGATTCTTTATAGAGCTCAAGCCCTTGAAATTTCTGCCCAACTTCCTTACGACCCATCATCCCTCCATACTCTCTTCCCTGCCCCCCCAAAAAAACACAATCAGACAAAACTCAGAACATTAGTATCTTCCATTTCTAACAGATTTAAATTTATATTCCAATACTCTCCATTATTTTACCCTATCTTTGGGTGCTAAGTATTTTTTGATAGAAATTTTATTTTACTTTTGAACTTAAATAACCATCTTCAGTGTCAAAGCTTAACTTTAAAAAAAATTATTCATCTTGATTTAGATCACTCCCTTGATGGACCCCTTACAAATGGTGATGGCAGAGAGCCTCGGACAGGAATCAAAAGAAAACTACTTAGTGCATCAGAAGAAGATGAAAGCATGGGAAGAGAAGAGAAAGAGAAAAAAGAAACAAAAGAGAAATCTCATTTGTCCTCCTCAGAGAGTGGAGAGTTAGGATCCAGTTTAAGTTCTGAAAGTACCTGTGGTTCTGATTCTGATTCTGAATCAACTTCCAGAACAGATCAAGATTACGTAGATGGAGACCATGACTATAGCAAATTCATACAAACCAGGCCTAAAAGAAAACTCAGAAAGCAATATGCCAATGGAAAAAGAAACTGGAAGACAAGAGGCACAGGAGGAAGGGGCAGATGGGGCAGATGGGGTAGATGGAGTAGAGGAGGCCGAGGAAGAGGAGGCAGGGGACGAGGAGGTCGAGGAAGAGGTGCAGGTGCTACTAGAGGGAGAGGGAGAGGGAGAGGAGGAAGAGGTGCTTCTAGAGGAGCCACCAGAGCCAAACGTGCACGTATTGCAGATGATGAATTTGATACCATGTTTTCAGGACGTTTCAGTAGACTGCCTCGAATTAAAACAAGAAACCAAGGCAGGAGGACTGTTTTATATAATGATGATTCTGATAATGACAATTTTGTGTCCACTGAAGATCCTCTGAATCTTGGTACATCCAGATCAGGCAGAGTGCGTAAAATGACAGAAAAAGCCAGGGTTAGCCATCTCATGGGATGGAATTATTAACAGTTAATAAATTTAGAGTAATTTAAAAAAAATTCAATGGCCTTCTACTGCAGGGAATTTACTAGGAAATCTACAAAGCAAGTTGTGTGGGGACTTCTGCTTCCTTTCACATTGGTGCTTTTCCATTATGCCAGTATACATTTGTTTCAAGACTTTTGATCTCCACACTTCATTTGTTCAAACAAGCCTTACTCATTAGGCCTTAAATTAAAAAAAAAATTCTGCCCACATATAGACATACACACACACAACACATCACAAACACACTACAGATTTACTACATTAAAGGAGCATTCAGCTTCTTAAGAGTAGCATGACATTTTTATCTCAATTGAATATCCCTCTTTTGCTTTTGTATCACAGAAGTATAGCACCTTCTTACAGAGTTTTATATAGTTTGTTTTTGCCATTTTAATTCTTGTACCCAGTAATAATAACTTTTGCACAATACACCAATCCTATAGGCAGCTATTAAATGTTTACAGTTTCTATATTGTAAGAACGATCTGGATTATTTTACTCTTCCCAGGCCAAACTTTCCTGAATTGTATTGAACTGAAGTATATATTTATACTACAGTTTTTTGGGGGTGGGGGGGATCTTGATATGCTTTTCATTGATTTGCTTAACTCATGTTAAAGGTGAGAAAGGGTTGGTGCCTTGTAAATATGTAGCAAATCTTTGTGGTGTGTCCTGATGTTTGCATTAACTTTATTAAAAAAGAATATTTGAGGTATCAATCTAGACAAGGTGCCAAATGCAAAAGTTTCTTGCATCCATTTTCTTTTTCCTATTATATTTTATTGCATTAATAGAACTTGTGTAGTTTAAAGAATAACTTAAACATTTGAAAAATCCTCATCCACAAAGAATAATTTCTTTGAATAGTAGCTCAGCTACCTCTATTAACTACAACTACTGGAAACGTTAAGGAAAATAGATGCTGTTATTCATTACTGACTAAAAAAAAATAGAACAAGCTTGGTAGGAATGATTACTCATATGTTATAAGCTGAGAGGTTGTTAATAATTGTATTGGCTCTCAAATTAATAGTTGTAATTAACAAACTTTCATAAGTGTAGTATGCTGTACCTTAGGCTTTTCTTAGTACATTCTTGTGTAGGTAGACTTGGTCTACTGCTTATGTATCTCTGCTACCACTTGCTATTTACAGCTGTGAGTGATTGGTTTTCATTTGAATTTTAAAATGTAACAAAGCAGCTAGTTTGAATTAGAATGTTTTGGCTAGCAAATATTTTGAGGCAACTTTAATAGGTTTTGCTCATACCATTCCAAAGGTTCTTCTGTTATAATATTTTAGAAAAGAACCTCATTTCACTGCACATTGATATTTGAGTCATTATTTTATAGATTAAAAAAATCTTTAAAACCCTTATGGTCTTGTTTACAGCAGTAGAGTGCACATGATTCCATAAATGAGCTTGAGTTCCAAGATGAATTTTAATCCTCAAATTTGAGAAATTGCAAATTCACTCATTTGTTAAGGTGAGTGGGATAATATTAATCTCTGTTACTGTAACAGCAGATTTGTTGCACTTAGATCAGACTTTGGAGATTAAAAAAAAAAAAACTTCTTCATGTATGCCTAGTAATCCCAGGATATTTCTTAAGCTAATGTGTTTGTTTCATGTTTCCAATCATTTTGTGCATCTGAAAATCCTTAAGTGCAAAGGAAGGAGTACACACATAACTTTGCTCTTTTGTTTGGATCAGGTGGGGGTTGGTCCTGTACTAACTAAGCAATTTTCACTTGCAGTAGAAATGATGTTCAGGCTTTAAGAAAGTATTGTTGTGAATTGTTAATGGCACTAACTTCTGTTACTGAACAGTAGATCAAGCTGATTTTTTTGTTGTTGTAGTGTTGTTGTTGTTGTTGTTTTTCACTAAACCAAAACTACTGCTGGTTAAACTCAGCTGACACTTTTAACCATACTATAGATTCAAAAACATTCACATTTGAAACTCTGCATTTGATTTTTGCTAATGTACTATTTTAATTATTCATCTCATGGGCATTTAGACTAAATTTGTGTCTGTGTTTTCCTAGAATCGGTAACACTTTGACTTACCCTAATCAAAGTAACATAGTTACTTAAATTCATGGATATACCCAAACATGTATTACGTGTATCATTTTAGTGTGAAATTTTTTGTTGACATTCTTCTATGAAGAGCTGACCCTTTCAAATGTAGAAGAATTGCCATTTGTGTGATTTTAGCTATCTCAAGCTTTATTTATAATTTATTTTGAAAAATAAAAATGCCACATTTATTTCCCATATGTCAAGATTTTCTAGGTTTAGATGATTAGAATAATAAGGCTGAAGACATTTTTAAGCACATTTTATATGTAGTGAAATACTGTGAAAATACTAGTGAACAGCATTTTGCTATAATATTGATTTCAGTTATTAGGATTTAAAAGTCACCAGGGTATGTTAGATGAGCATATTTACCATTTATTACAAAACAAACAGATTATTTTCTGTTTGCATGCAAATTATTTTAATACGTGTGAAAATAAAAGTTTGGAAGATAGTATTTTTACTTTTATATCTGAACACTTTCCCCCCAGTTTATACTTTGCTTGTTTGTAATGCCGCCTCCTGTGAATGTGTTGTAATTTGTATCACATTGAATACTGTACACTTTAATTTTTAGAGTATCTTTAAACCTAAATAATATCAGGTTCAGGCATAGCAAAGCAAGTAGGAAATGAGGTGAAAATTTTGAAGAAAAGTCTAAATCTTAAATGAATTGCTAAGAAATAAACTTATATTTAGGTCCATGAGAACATACACATGTATAAACCTAATCCTATGCTGGATATTAATAGTCACTGAACTATAATATTTCTCATAAATGCTAATAATCTTTTAATTCCCAGCTTTAAGATCTTAGCATGTGTATCTGTTTATGAAAACAGAATTGTGTGTTCTATGTCTTGCTGTGTGTAACTCTTCCAGCAATAGGATGCTTTCCAAAACATTCACTAGCCTATCAGCCTAATTACTAAATGTGTGTGTGTGTGTGTGTGTGTGTGTGTGTGTGTGTGTGTAGATTTTTTTCCAACTTGACAGACTTTGTCTTGGACATTAAAAAAAGAATATTTTGTATGGAAGACAGCTGTATTCACAGCCTACCAATTCTTTGCCTCTGTTTAAAGCACTTAGCCTGTATATATACTGCTTGATCATCCATCTCATTATGCCTTCTAGATAAACTAGGTTTTTATCATGTACATGTGTCCCTCTGTTTTTTTAATTTATCTTTCCTTCACTTGTTTCTTTTTCTGTTTCCCTTCCCAGAGATCAGGCTTGTGCTAGAATTCTTCATACAGCACTTTGTTTCACCCAGAGGCTAAGAAATTGAGTAAAATTCATAAATCTCATAATGCACAACTGTGTGCTCAGATATCTAACTCAGCCTTGTAATACTTTGAAATAAATTTGAGTGATTTTTTATTTTGTTGTAATCTTATAGGTTGTCATCAGACAATAACAGAGTGATTGAAAAGAAAAATGTGAATGCCACGTCTTAGTTTTTGATAAAAACTTTTTGAGCATTTTTCAAAATTTGTATGTTTGTGGTAGTGATAAACACCTTTATTACTTGCTTATGTATCTTGGGAATTATTTTATGCACATTTACCAACTGGTACTTATCTTTAACGTTGGAATTTTCACATCCACAAAAGGGAAACTTACATCCTGTATAATTTTCAGTTTACTTTGATATCCAGCCTTTTAAACAATTACTAACATTTTGAGTTCCAAAATGAATATAGTTCAGTTCTGGGGGAGGGAATGGAACTTTTGACATTTAAAATTCACTGTTTTAAATGTTAACCCCATCCCCAACATTTTTGTGGTACATGAGGCTTTACAAAAGTTTTATTGAAAATAGAGTATGATCACTTTAAAGGCTTGTTTTAAAAATTAGTGTGAAAATATTTTCATGCTTTTTTTTATTTTTATCTCTTAGTAAAGTTTCTTTACTAAGTTTTAATTATGAAGTTTACCAAGTTTTGTTTAAATTCTAATATAAAGTTAATTCTTTTCACAGTGCTGTATTTTGTGAAATATGAATTGCCCTCAAGTTCCTAGACATTTATTTCTTATATAGCCTTATTCTTGATTATTTTCTTTTCAATCATTCCTGCTTACTTTTATCCTCACTTCTCTTACTGCAATGAAGACTGCATCTAATTTAGCACACTTCAACAAGACTGGCAATTTATGAGTCACTGATGGGAGAAGTACAGTAGAAAGGCCCTGCAGTTTAGAGTTAAGGTGTGTTTATTTATATGTATGCCCATTTGTTATTCTTATACCTATCTTAATTAAATCTATAATATGAGACTTTGACATATAAAAGCATGATAAGTATTTTCTAAAAAATAAAACTATTGATACATATAATCACCATTGGTAATTGACTTTTAAAATCACATACAAAAATATTTAGAAACCCAGTTGGGAAATGTGTTTTTACATATGTCACCAGATGCACATTAGGCAGTACTAGAAATGTTAATTCTTTAAACAATACTGTGGTGATGGCAATCAGTAATTTATTTCTTTGTCCTGTAACTTACCATCTTTGTCTTTTGTAATCCCTTACAAAGTATTAACAAAACTGTACTTTATGTTTGTTCTTAGTATCCATAAAATTTTAAGATGGAAAGTCATTGAGTTAATAGTTGATGTGATGTTATATATGGACAAAATGTCCATTAAACTAAAATTCAGTAAAGAAAGGTAAACTAACTGGCTCGGTTTATAAAAGATGTTTTGTTTGGCAGTTACCAGTCATTTAAGCAATTATCTTCAAAGACAAAAAACTGGATTAATTTGTTGCCATTCTTTATGGGATGTTTACAATAAAATTCCAAGTTGTTTGGAATCACTTGCACTCTTGCTGCTTTATGCTTTAACTCAGGTACTGGAGATAAATTAACAAGAAGAAAGAAATAAGGAGTTTCCTTTCCATTATTCAGCTTCAGAGG